CGGTTCATCATTTTAATGTTCATCTGATGGCACATTACTTGCCTTTATTAAATCAATTCGATTTATCAAAAGAAAGAACTAATCAGAACTGGAAGCACTGTAGAGTCTAACTCAATAGAAGTATGTGTTTGTACATGTCCATCAGCGGACCGGTCGATGAGTAGAATTTATCCAGATAGGTTCATATCATAACAACTTTATCTCATTCACACTAGAGACTGTCTTGTGGTAACGAGATTAAAGGTTAGACGTATATAACTAATCTATTTTAATGTATGGGGAAAACTATATTTTCATAATATCCTCACAGTCTGTATAACGTTTACATTACTTTACCACACCACTTATTAACATTTATTTATACAATTTATCAACACTCGGTACTTTGAATTTGTGCAGTTACTGGTGGTAAGATTGCAAACCTTTTTCACAGATAGGTAAATGTATTAAAATATAAAAGAGGAAAAGTGACTTGGATGATAGTCCATATCCAATTTTCGGAAATCTTTCTTATGTGTGTACCTATTTTAAAAAAAGTGTCACGTTTTCGAATATTCACAAAAAGTAATAAAGGTCGAGCAACAAATCTTAACATTTAATTCGGATCACATCCGTACTTTTAGGGAAAATAAAAATAATTCTTAACATTAATTCGTGACACTTTACCGGTAAATTTTCACCGTATTCTCGACCTTATGCTCACTCCCGGTGGCACATTAAAAGTTGTATATTCCCGTCCGCATTTTTGTAAGGGTGGGGGGAGGGGGATATGTATGTGTAGGTTTAGGTAAAATGTACGCGAGACGCCTTTCAGACAGACGAAATATACTTCCCCTTACTGAGCTGAGACAGTGGCCATTAATAATTCCATTCTCACTCGCGTTTACAAGTGTCAGATGAAAATGTTGGTCTGGGACTATTTTTTTCATTCGTACAGTTTCAATATGAGCGTGATGACGTTTCTAGATTTGGGGAAGGGGGCGGGGGGTTATAGTGTAGTCTTTCTCAAGTATCGTGTAGATCGGTTTAAGTTTCACGGCTTAAGCAGTTTCATTTAGGTGTCACATGCGTCTTCGACGCCTCTCTCGCTGTATGTGTGATCTCGTTAAACAAGGAAAATATGGAAATGAATTTGTATTCTGCTTCTAAAATTGACAAGGATTGAATAAATCAGACCGAGAAAATTATTCTCTGACAACTTGTTCCTCTTTTCCTTGCAAGTTGAACGCTGTTTGCTAAATAATTCTTCAGGACAAACTGATCTCCTGTCTTTGAAAAATAAACAGAAACTATCGACCTCTGTATTATTGTCATTGGTCCAATAAGCGATGACTCACTGACTCCTCCACGCCACACGCCACAACCGCACTCACTGTCCCGATTAAACGACATGGCGTCCCAAATAAGAAAAGCAAATTCCTGTTATTTTCTCGATTAACCGATAGCCCAATTAACCGGAATCTACTGTATTATAATTGGGCATCGCCAATTGTTTCAACTAATTCTATGGAGAAAAATTATTTTTAAGACATCCAAGAAATTACATCCGAAGGTTTATTACCGCGTTCACAAAAGCGCATGGCATGACTACACCGTATCATGAACTAGACTGATCAAGACCACATCTTCAAGTTATATTTATGAGACCTATTTTAATATTATTCTTACATCTGAGCATTGGTCTCACAACTGGCCTCGAACGTTTAGGTTTTCCCAAACAACTTACTTACTCAAGTGACCAATTACGGACACCGCGCTGGAAGGAAGGTTTCTATGACGATCGATCACCAGCACTGTAGTCAATAGAACCCATTATAAATGAGCTCAGGTCACAAAGACTGAAAAACAAAGGGGACTGGTCTGACATTCAATAAATCCCGAATAACTTTAAAAACTATAAGGAAAGGAAATCATCGTCAGCATAAATTCTCGACGCGCGCTCATGTGAACAAGTCGTTATACGGCACATGCATGAATGTATGTGTACGTGGCTCCACAGAGTCGGGGGGGGATGATTTCACCCCACTGCAAGTTCCACAAACTTCCGTAGCTACTCCGCCACTATACACTGTGGTCTAATGGTTTCCTCGCGGGGCCCAGTGTGGATATCATATAGTCAACAATAAATCTTATTAATTTTCCATAAAGGCAGTGGATAGGGTCTTCTCGATTTCTCTTCCTTTATATTTATTCCACTGCCTCACA